AGAAGGGCTGAGCGAAAGTACAATGAGGCAAGGGGATGGGCGTGAGCGGCTGAAATAGATTTTATATAATATAAAATATATTTTAAAAAAATTAATTCTCTTGATTAGCGGTATCAAGGACAGCATTTTGCTACTATTCGCCGCACCGCGGGTCGCAGTGGTCATAAGACACATTTGCTGCTATTCGCACCTTCTCGGCGGTGCGTATAGGGAACACATTTGCAGCTATTTCGCACCGCGCGGTGTGAATAAGTACACATTTGGCTGCTGTATTAGCACCGCGGTCCGGTGCGGAATAAGGACACATTTGCTTGCCTATTCGCACCGCCGGCGGTGCCGAATAAGACACATTTGCTGCTATTCGCACCGCGGCGGTGCGTATAGGACACATTTGCCCTGCTATTCGCACCGCGCGGTGTTGGTATAAGCGAACACATTTGTGCTATGTTGGCACCGCGGCCGTACGTATAAGGACACATTTGTGCTAGTTCGCACGCGGCGGTGTGAATAAGGACACATTTGCTGCTATCGCCACCGCGGCGGTGCGAATAAGGACACATTGTGCTGCTATTTCCACATCGGCGTGCGCAATAGAGACACATTTGCTGCTATTGCACCGCCGGCGGTTGCGTATAAGACACATTTGCTGCTATTGACCGCGGCGTGCGTATAGGACACATTTTGCTGCTATCGCACCGCGCGGTTGCGTATAAGCGACACATTTTGCCTGCCTATTTTCGCACCGCGGCGAGTGCGTCTAAGGACACATTTGCTGCACTTATCCGACGCGGCGGTCGTGAATAAGAAACACATTTGTTCTATTCGCCTGCTCTTCTCTCTAGGACAGGAGATAGTTATTAACTAGCTAGGCTAGATATATAGATAGAGTTAGATATACATAGATGATAGATAGAGAGATAGATAGATAGATAGATAGATAGAATAGATAGATAGATAGATAGATAGATAGATATGATATACGATTAGATAGATTAGATATAGATTAGATTAGATAGATAGATAGATAGATAGATAGATAGATAGATAGATAGTAGCATATATGATAGATAGATAGATAGATAATTCATTTTATTCGTTTAAATTATTCACTTTTAAATTTATTTGTCTATCTTAATAGGTATTTAATTGAACCATGATAAACTATTATTACTATTTGTTATTATTATGTTTACATCTATTCTGGGGACACCAGGGAGGTAATTAAAAACAACAGACCTGTATTTATTCACTCCTTTATCCCACGCAGCTGCTATATTCTGCTGCGAATGATCGTCCTTATAGACCGCTTAGCTCTTGTTAGTATGATTCACCCACTGATACAGATGCGCGCGTATCTGACACGCACACGCGCGCGTACACGCACAGACTACACGCTCGCACGCACACACACCACACACACACACACACACACACACACACACACCACACACACACACACAGACACACGCGCCGCAACACGCGGCGCACACGCACAGACACACGCACATAGTGAGATATTGCGCATGCGCTAACACACTAACGTTGCGCAGATTTATGTACTGCGCTGGGATATGCAGCGACGGCGACCTTTACATGTGCAGGAGTCAATTGTCCTGTTTTTAGTGAGATCTACTGATGGAATTTTTATCATAGATAATCTATGCTAGAATACCTCCTCTCTATTTTAACATGCCATAATTTTCGCAAAATATTAATAATTCTCAAGAGATATGCGCATGCCGCCAACACCGTTTTCAGGCGTGCCAGTTACGCGACTGGATGCAACCGTATAATTATATATAGCTTGTGAGAGAGGGACAGCGAGAGCGAGTCCTATGGGAGCGCGACTGCGGAAACGCGCAGGGCAGCAGGAAAGATAGCGGGCGCGGGAGAAAAAGAAGGAGGCTGAGCGAAAGACAATGAAGGCAAGGGGATGGGCGGAAGGCAAAATTTTTTTTTCACTTGAGTTCCGGACCACAGCCAATCAGCGCACTCCGTTCACTGGACTTCCTCGAAGCAACAATGTAAAATGAGTTCCACCTATCCCTAACCCTAACCCTCACCCTAACCCGAACACGTACCCGAACCCTAACAATAACTATAATCCAACCATATATATAAGAACCATTTATTACAAAACACTATCTATGGTGGGTCCGGAACTCAAGTGGGAAAAAGAATTTCGCGGGCGGGAGCGGATGAAGTAGGGATTTTGCACCCTACAGGCTAGGGCGCTCTCCTAATTATAAACACAGGTCTACTGATAACAATTAATTACAGAAATCTATGCTGAGATACCCCCTAACCATATTAAATTAATAATCATCACAAAATATATCTCTTCTAGTGAGATATGGCGCATGCGCTAACACACAAACGTTGCCAGATTATGTACTGGCTGGGATATGCAGCAGGGACCTTACATGCAGGATCATCGTCCTGTTTCTTAAGTGAGATCTACTGATGGAATTTTATCATAGAAATCTATGCTAGAATACCTCCTCTCTATTTTAAATGCATAATTTTCGCAAAATATTAATATTCACGAAAGATACTGCGCATGCGCGATCACCGTTTCAGGCGTGCAGTACGGACTGAATACAACTGCATAATATAGCTTGCTGAGAGAGGGAGTGAGTGTTGAGAGACTGGGGAAAGGCAGCAGGGAAGATAGCGGGCGCGGGAGAAAAAGAAGGAGGCTGAGCGAAAGACAATGGAGGCAAGGGGATGGGCGGGAGCGGATGAAGTAGGGATTTTGCACCCTACAGGCTAGGGCACTCTCCTAATATGAACACAGGTCTTCTGATAACAATTAATTACAGGAATCTATGCTGAGATACCCCCTAACCATATTAAATTGATAATCATCACAAAATATAACTCTTCTAGTGAGATATTGCGCATGCGCTAACACACTAACGTAGCCAGATTATGTACTGGCTGGTATATGCAGCGGGAACCTTACATGCAAGTTCCTTTTTCCATTTGTAACGAGAGGTCTAGTGATGGAAGTTTATCAAATAAATCCCTAGCACTCTCTACATCTGTCAATTTTAATTGCCCGATTTTCACAAAATATTATCTATCTGAGGAGGTATTGCGCATGCGCGTCAATGCACACTATGAAAACTGGACAATAGAGCTTGTTGAAGTAGAGAAGGGGTGGGGAGATAGCGGACAGGTGGGAGAAGGTAAATGAGGCTGAGTGAGGTAGGTGGGGTAAGAGGGAAGGACAGGAGGGGATGAAATAGGAAGGTTACAGCCTTCAGGCTAGGGCGCTCTCCTTAATATAAACATAGGTCAAGTGATGGTTTATCATATAAATCTATGTCCATATCTCCCCTCAATATCATTCCTTCAATGTTCACGAGATGACGTCACTGTGCAAATGCACATGATTATATCTGCAGTGAATAATAATAGATTATTCTTTATAATTTTAATTTCAATTAATTTTAATTTTATATTTTATTTATTTTAATTTTATATCTATACCGTTAACTTTATATATTGATTATTGATACGACCTGGGCATCTAGTCGCTCCTGCTATACTATAGATTATAATTCACTTGATTATATGGGCAGTCGTACGTATAAATTGTGTAGAGTATCAAGAAGACGTCAAACCAATATAGCACCCAACAAAAACCACCGAGTGAACCCAAATTATTTGTAATGACTCGTATTATTTTCTCCTCACGATGCTACCCTCGCTCCCACTTCGTGCCACATACAAACAAATATGTGCGCATCAAAAACATGTCACCAATGAATGTTTGTCACAAAGTTGATGATCGCATTTGACATTGTATTTTGGCTACGTTCCTCAGTCCTTCCTGTATCAACACATTTCAATATAACAGTATCATGAGCTAATCATACACACAGTCACATCTCTGTTATAGCATAAGAGGTGTTTATGACACGGGTTACAATGTGAAACACACTACTCATACTTACAAGTAATTACGTCACCGTAAATAGTAAACAACACCAAAATAATTTTCCAACTTTTTCACAAAATATAAGTGTTTCAGCTTTTATGTTAAATTGCTCGGCATTATACGTCCTGTTTTTTACTATATCTGTTCGATTGAACATACCACTCGTGACTGCATAACATAGCCCATCGCAATGCAACTTAATGTGCAGGAACATAATATCCAAATCGTCTCAGGTTTTTTTGATTTTTAACTAGTTGAGAAACAATCTTATCAGGTATAGAATTTGACGATACGTTTAATCCCGTTAGTTCTTACTTTCTAATGTAAAAAAAATAGCACCAAACTTCTTACAAATTTTACCATAGAAAATTCGTTGACGTGATAGTCAAGTTTAATACAATGATAATGAAACATACAGTCAAACACACCAGGGGGGAGGGGGGGCGGGTCTTCTTTTTTGTTTGTTTTTTTTTCTCTGGTATAATTTCTTGAGGGGGGGGACGTTCCTCCATGCAATTCACTGTTACTCGCCGGCCTTATACTAGTATTACAAGCAAGTCTGTTTCTCCTTTTATACAACTTTCAAGTTACATTCAACATTTAAGGTATCACAGACCTCCTCCTGCTCCATCTATCCAGTGAGCAGTGGCGCCCCCTCTCTCTCATCCATCCGAGTGACCAGTGGCCGCCCCCTCCTCTCACATCACCCCAGTGACAGTGGGCCCCCTCTCCTCACATCATCCAGTGACAGTGGCGCCCCTCTCCTGCACATCGTCCTGTGAAAGTGGCGCGCCGCCTCTCGCTCCACATCGCCGAATCGTCAGGACACGAAGTATCCGCTGTCCTAAAGACAATCTCCTGGACGGACCGCCGTTCGCGGCGTCGGTGGCTCCCCCCTGCTGGCGCGGCGGCAAACACGATCGGCACTCTCTTCCGACATTCCGAAGTTTGCCGCCGCGTGCACCGCCGAAACCGCTGCGACCAGGTCAAAGGCGTGGGCGTCCATCGAGACGTCCGCGCCGCACCTGGCGGCAGCAAGGCAGCCGCTGCCCCGACGATCGCGGAGTCGAACCGCCGCGTCTCGGCGCTGCGCCGGAGGGAGGGATCGGCGACGGGCGCGCCCCCGTGGCTGAGCGGCGTCGTGCGGTCCCGCGCGCGGCACAGTCGTCGCCGCGAAGGTGGCGCCCCCTTGTGTCGCGGCGACGAGGCGGCAGAGTCCGTTCACGGCGGAGGGGAGCAGCGCTCCGGTCAGCTGCAGTGTGTAGAGGGCGCCACCGGCCTGTCGTACGGATCCGTGCTGAACCTACGCGTGGAAGGAGGAACGACGACGATTAGAACACGCGAGAGAACATGCAGCTAGAACAACACAATGAGAGAACAACATCGTAAGAACAATGTAATAAGAGAACAACGTGACAAGAACAATGTAGTAAGAGAACAACATCGCAAGAACAATGTAATAAAAGAACAATGTAGTGTAATAAATGAACAATCAATGAACGGACTAACGAACGTACAGAACATTACACATCGATCACACGTGAAAGAACATATAACATAATGAACGTATTATTATATCCTGGTGACAGAACATACTAAACCGTGAAAAATAAAAGAACATACTGAACAACAATGAACGAACGCGGTAAGAACAACGTTACCTTCAGAGTGTCCAGCGTCGCTCCGTGAAATGCTACGGGAGCCAGCAGCGTAGGCGGCAGCCCCGCCTGGTGGCCGGCGTTGGAAACGCAGCTCTTGCTGTTCAACAGGTAGTTGTAGAGGGCCTGGCAGTCGCGACCTTCGACCTTGACGGTGGATTCTGGGTAGAGGTCGACCTTGCGCGACTTTCCGCCCTGTCTGCGAGCGTCGCGTCAAGGATAACAATAGAACGTATCTCACGACTGCGTTGACAAACGAACAACAACGTTGCGTTCGAATCAAGAAAAATAATCGCAGAAATATAAAATTCATAAATAATAAGAGAAAATAAATGGAATGAATAAATCGAATAATAAATCGGTAATCGTAGCATCAATATTGCATGTATAGCGAACAAAAATCAAGAGATTGTAACTGCTTTCGCTGATGATTCTAGCTATGAATCGAATTTCTAAAGAGCAAGAGATCTTATTTCTAACATTTTTTCAATTTCAATCCGAAATTTCGAGCTTTTATTTTATCGGTCAGCTTTTTGTATTTTTTTTTCCGTAAAAAGTTTGCATAAACCGTCGGCTAATAAAGCGGGTAATAACAAATCAAAAATGCAAAATTATAATCGTCAACATTTCTTTGCCGGAAGCAGCTACGATGATGCCAAACAGAAAGGATACACTTTTAACTTTCCCGTCGTGAGTTCTATTGCATCCAGGTCCATATCGTAGGGATGAGAATCCAGATCATCGTTATTACAGGAAGCTTCCTTCTGTAGTTCCTCCTTGCTTTCGGCGACTTGGTCAGCGGTGGCTCCTTCTCTATTGTAAAAATAATGATGACATTGTTTGAAATCGATTTGGCGGTTGAGATACAGAGGGGGGAGAGAGGGAGAGGAGGAGAGGGGGGAGAGCGGGAGAGATGGAGACACACACAGAGAGAGATAGATAGAGAGAGATATAT